TTTTTTTTGCCCCCCCCCCTGTATACAGTAGGTCCTTTAGCCAACTATTTGTACCTGTAACCGTGACCAGAGCTCCAAGGAACCTAAGTCTCGCCATCAGCGAGATAAAGGGGTCGGTATTCGTAGAAGGGTGCCTCTTCTGTCACTCGTAATTGCGCTGAAGTGAGGGTGGTGGGTAGTGAGGCCTGATGCTGTCTGAGTCCAGTCAAAAGGAAAGCACGCAGACACGTAGCGTGCCTGATAGCCAGGTATACATCACCCGTACCCAAATGCGCTACTCCCCTTCTCACGTTTGATTGTTCGCTACCTTTAGCTTTGTACTTTACCAGTTTTACAAATTCCAGATCCATTTCCGCACACCTTCGAGTAATGGAAGGGGCATTTCTGCGGCTGCACACCTACACATTTAGCACCGGGCCATTTCACGGAACCACGTAAGACGTTGTCAGCGTAGAAAATGGTATGGGATTACTTTTAATCACCTTCATTATACTGTATTTTCTCAAGGTAGACGGCATTCAGTGCGAAAGGTGTGCACGAAAAAACGATTGTGAGGCAGGATCGCCTGAGCCCAGGGGAGGGGAAGCGCCATAAGAAGGTCAACAGTTTGTGAAAAATTGGTACAGAGAGAAAGAGAAAAGAAAATGATACACTTAACACGCTGTACCAGAGAAAATTTTACACTTAGCACGTTATACCCTTACAGGAGTTTGCAAAAATGCCCACTCTAAGCCGAACTGCGACGGAATCTTGCTTCTTTATCACTAGTACAGCTAGGATCCTATCTCTGGTGATAGTCTAAACCGAACCCGAGCACGAACCATAGGCCCATAAACGTGTGCAGAAGTTGCTTGGGAGATAACTTTTGTTTGGGAGGTAACGCGATCTCAGGACATTACTCACTCTATCGTCGATGTCCATCAGTCAGATAGGCCGGGAAAATAATCATTTCCAAAGAAAAATGTTTCGCTGGTAAAACATCCTTCTTTCTGGAGAGAGAATGAGATGAAGGACGCGATTCCTTGATCAGATTGAAACCTCTGAATTGTAGAAGCGCAATGATGTCGTGTACGGCTTCGTATTCATGAGGGACTTTCAGCTTTTTGCATTGCATCAGTTGCACGCTAGAGGCGGAGATAGTCGAAAATGGCACGCCAACCATGCGGGCGGTCCGGGGTTCAAATCCAGGAACGGCTTCGGCTCCGGCCAACCAGGTATCCTACTCTCCGGGTGCGGCAAATTCGTACAAAACTCGGTACGAACATTGGCTCTGACATCGGCAGTTGCCCGCTCAAGTTTTCGGAGGCTCAGACTGCTATGAAGAACATCCAGTTATGTTGTTGGGGATTCAACTGAGTGGTGTGACAGTTGTGAAAAACGATTCCTGGGACCAAGGCCATGCCATGGCATGTGGGGAACACGACATTGGCGTCTGACAAACGCTCTTGTCGACCTCCCATTTGTTTTCTTAATGTTCCTCCAGTACCATGATCACATAAAAAAGTGAACGCGTGATACTGTACTTACTCACAACTAGTAAAACCGATAAATAGAATGCGGAAAACTGTAAAAGAAACTCCAGACAACTCCAGTATCACAGTAATGAAATGGAGTTGATCGTGGTAGTAATAAGCCTGAAAATTGCCACTGAGACACGGCTTCTTCCGAGCGTCATCGAACTTTTCAGATAGTCGACAGCTGTGGGAAATACGGAAATTACAGGTGAGATTATGAGAGGAAGCTCCAGGGTGAGCCAAACAACGAGACCCTAATTTCACCCTATAGTTGAATACAGGTGCCGCTCAGGCGTGAGCTGGGGTGTGCTGTGTGCACTCGGCGCTCGTACATACTTAATTTCACGCGAGAATACTGTATCCTGCTTGTATTCCTGACCTTATAGTTTAACGTGGGAAATTCGAAAAATACAGCTGAAAGTGAAGAGTCTGATAGGCAATTTTGCGGTACACCTTTAGGGATCCCGGCGAGAGTTCGTGTCGTAGAAGTAATCTGATCAGGCAGAAATCTAAGAGGTGGCAATTCAAGGTAATGGACTCTGATGCGCCTGCCAGGGAGCGGCTGGCGAGAATACGCAATTGGCAGTGTATCAGTGAGAATAAATGGTGGCTTTCCACCTGCGCACGACCCCCGCCCTCCTCCACGCGCCGAGCTCTCCGTTACGATTTTCCTGCACTCTCGCCACTACAGCTACGTGCGCTTCACAGCATGCTTAAAAGTTCTGCAACATTTTACAGTGGAGGCCAAGGGTCAGCAGAAAAGACATCTGGAGCCAGAAACAGCCACCTTTTCTGCGACCAGCACGCCCACGATACTACTCGAAATCGCCTGGGTCGGTAGCGCGTTGGCTGCATGCTTCAACTTTGGACCTGAATGGTGTCTAATGCTTCTGGTAAAATATTATTGATTTGACACAAATTGTTGTCGTGTTCCTGTCCAACACTAGCACACATGACAGTTGTCCAATTGGAATATTCCAGCGATACCAGTTGGTGCCTCAGTGCCGCGCACTACTCTGCTCAGGGATAAGGAGTTACAACCTCGATATCGTTTTCGGCAGTGATGGACTCTCGTACGAAACGCTTTTTTTTGAACGAGCTGCATCCAAGCCCGAATCTGTCGTAGCCGAACTTGGTGCAGCGCGAACTATGCGTGGCTTATGGCTTTGATGATTGTTATAACAATGTCTTAGCGTGAAGCGAAGGGAAGAACAATATCAATAGATAACTACTGGAGGCCACTACAGTAATAGAATAGTAGTAAACAGTGTTATGTCGAAACAGGAAAGATCTCTGTCGGGGTGTTAAATATCATGAGAAATCGCTGCTCGGATAAGACAGCTAAGCTCAGTCGTTGATCGATCTCGTTCCGGCACAGGAACAACTCGAAAACCACCTGAAACAGTAGGATGCTTTTATTGCAGGAATAGCCAGACGGGGGGAGAAGTACATTGGATATTCAACGCACACAAAGCAATTATAAAGACACATACATGGGCAGTTTGGGTTATAGCATGCTGACGAGACAGCACCGAGAGGTATCCGGCGAGGCAGACGCGTAGTGGAACTCCTTGGTCAAAATTTTGTTACATTATTTACCGTGTGGCAGTCATGGGAATGGTGACAAGCTTTCCATAAATCCATTTGACAAAAAGATTACACAGTCGTAGGCACATTCCGCGATGACCGGGTGGGCGGAGACCTGCAACTTCTGTGCTTCCCAGAGCACTTCGTGCGCTGGGGATTTGAGGACCCTTCAGCGATTGGGGTCGTTTATCGTCCGATGAGGGAGGGGCGTGCTTCCCTAATTACTGTCCCTCGAAAAAAATGTTTAGGCAGTCCGGTGACGGTCTTCGTGGCTTTTTTCACTATTTCCATCGCGCGCACGCTATAAACCCCCTCGCCGGCTGTCGAATGGCAAGTTATTTGACGAAAGGTGTGGGGAATTCTTAGAAAAAAAAATACAAAAAGGCGGTCGGCAGGCTGTGAAATCCATAGAAATGGTTAGGCATGATGGAAATGAGATTACTATAAGCAGTGAAATTTGTTTGGAAAGACATGTCAGAGATTGAACATTTTTGAGAGTCAAGGGAGGGGAAGGGGGTAGTGGCGTGAAGTAGATCGTACTTTAAACCATTTGGCCTCATGCAGCCTCGTGGCGCCTCCCTCATTGGCGCAGCTGGCTGTTCGAATGGCAGGCGGAAAAGAGCTCGCACGAGAGGGGGAAGTCAAAAAGGATGTCGGTCTCCACCCATTTTCGCACATGGATTCATCGCGGAAAGTGTTCTAGGCCGAAAATAACGCAACTACGGTACACCGAGATCACCATCTCAGTAAGGTAATGTATTTCGAAGACATAGGACCGAGATATTAGACACTCTCCGACACCAGGAAAAGTGTTAAAGCTTGGCAGTTAGACTGTACTTTGGGCAGAACCGAGGATTGAGCTATGAAATCATTTAAATGCTGAGTTTCACCTGAATTTCTAGGAAAAGAAATGTTATGGAAATTGCTCGCAACGTCACGTTAAACTTGCAAATCTGACAGAGAAAAGCGGAAATCTATAGAGGTTTTGATGGACAGCACAAAGGAGAAGAGGGTTAGCAGGGAAAAGCTATGAAGTACGGCTACTTCTTGGACAGATGAGCTCGTGGATGCAGAATAGCCGCACTTACTTCAGGTTTTCGCCGTAGTACCCATACTTTTCTAGCGAACAAATCTGGTGTTGACATCTGAAATCAAGAAAACATCGAAGTGCAAGTCAATAAATCAGGCGATCAATCGATATCAGCAGTACCTCCATGTAGAAACGAGAATTCGGTGAAACACCGTGGAATACGCTGCCTCTCAATTGAGCATCACCATAGAACACCTGGAATGGGTCTTTTTTATGACAAGATCTCCTTTGTACACTTCTTATCCCTGAGACAGAGTAGGCGTGGCATTTAACATGGCATAGGATGGGTTACTCGTGGAACATTTCAATTTGGGACAATTGCCATCTTGTTCTGTGTTGGACGAAGACATGGCCACAATCATGTCCAGCTGAAAGTAGCTCACCAAAAGCACAGCCACGTTCAAGTGAAGCACGCAGCCACGCCCACCCCATTTCAGGGATTTCAAGTGCAGAAATCGGCTTGGTAGAGGCACCAAATTGTACTCAGCGAAGCTTGGACAGGTCACCTTGTGAAGACTACCAAGATACTGTAATTGTTTTGCGTCTCCTCAAAGTGAGACCTGTTATTCTTACCCTTCCAGAATAATTCAGGACCAATCCTCCTATCCTGGAGGAGGGAGAATCGATGGGCAGGGCGGGAAGTCGAGAGATTAGAGATCCCAACGGGTTGTGAGCAAGCCCTTTTCCAGGTAATAAAGGATAAAGCCTTCATCCGTTAATCCATCCCTCTGCGGGGTGCGGCACGCATTCTAGTTCCATTCAGAATCGTAGTGGCTTATTGAATGCGATGTGGCCTACACAACGATTCGGGGGGCCGATGTACAAATCAGTGATATTAATTCCTCCAATTATCTATTAACAATTTATCCGTCCAGAAGATAGTAGGCCGTTAGTTGGCGACATGGGGGGACGGCGGGAGGCCGATCCGGGTTTTGTTATCCCGGACCGTCGCGCGTGATAGCAGCTTGTCTTGCACTACAACCACCTCCGCCTTTTGCCAAGAAATGTCAGTGACATTTGAGATTTTTAATTTCGAATTCTGAGTGTGAAACTGCTTACATCTTCTGGAGTCCATTCGTATTTGGCAATTCGATGATGATGGAAACCGAGAGCTTCGCGAGGATGAGCGTAACCAGCTTGGATCCATTCGAATCTGAGAACCAAAAAAAATTAGGGAGCAACCAACATCTCAGTGAGTTAGGCAGCGTTCAGACTTCGCGACAGCAGCGCTTTTGGTCGCGTTTGGCGCGATCAATGCGCATCCTTGCTTCTACTATATCAATCGCGTCGAACGCGCGATCAAAGCGCTGTCTTCGCGAAATCTGAACGCTGCCTAACATGCAAACAACATCTGAAGATGTCTTCATTGCCATTTGGTGATAAGAAACAAAAACAAGCAAAAGTTGAATGAAAATATCAAGAATATTGAAATAAAATCAAATATTGCATTGTTTTGACACTGCCGATTACTCATACCAACTCTCTGAACGGGTAGCAAACATCGCTGTTACGTGAAATGCTTGTGTAAGCAACGATCCTCCCTCCAATCCGCAATAATCTGTCAGTACTACTCCCCTACCCTCGAGCCCTTCCCCATGCATGCTATTAGGTTGTCCGGAAAGTTCTCAGCGTTTTGTGCACCTATTTTTTGTACATTCACTGCTGATTAAAAACTCATTCTGCCTTGCTTCTCAGTAGCACATCCTGTAGAGAATTTCTTGCGCTATCTGATGGTATAATTGCCTTTTCATCATTGCTGATAAACCCCCTTTTTTCAAGACTTTTTCAAGCATGTGAAAAGAGCACTTCGGACGATTTTTTTCTTCGACTATAAATTGGAGGCAATCCGCAATCGAAACAGCTCAACAAATTAACCAGGTGTGGGAGCCCAATAGTGCTAGAGAAAGCACTGTGCGGCAATGGCTCAACAAATTTCGTTCTGGAGATTTTAGCCTTGAAGGTGAACCTCATAGCGGTCGACCTAAAGCAATATATGACGAGGATTTTAGGGGGTTTTGGAGGCTGACCCATCCCAAACAGTTCGAGAGATAGCAGAAGAGCTAGGCCTTGGCAAATCCACTGTTGCAGATGGTCTGGAACGCATTGGGAAGGTGAAAAAACTCGACAATTGGGTGCCCACAATCGGAGTGACCGGCAGGAATCGGCACGTCTCGAGGTTCCTTCTGCATTGCTATATTGCGGCAGCAGAAACGACCTGTTTTTAGACCGAATTGTCACCTGTGATGAAATATGGATCATGTATGATAACAGGAGACGTTCCGGAGAGTGGTTGGATTTTGACGGACCACCGAGGTAATTTTCAAAGCCGAACCCTCCCGAAAAAAAAGGATTCTGGTCACGGCTTGGTGGTCATCGGCTGGTGTGATCACTATATAACTTGGTTTTCTAACACCAGGCCAAACATCACAAGTCAGAACCATAACTTGAAGATATCGACGAATTGTACCGAAAATTTTGTCAGATGCAGCCAACACTTATCAAAAGAAAGGGTCCGATTCTTTTGCCTGACAACGCCCGCCCGCACGTTTCACAAATCACTATCCATAAATTGAACGAATTGGGGGTTTGAAGTTCTACCTCAACCGCCATATTCTTCAGACCTTTCGCCAACCGACTATCACCTTTTCTAACATTTTCAGAACCCCTTTGCTAGGGAAATACTCATTCAATTAGGACCAGGCAAAAAAGACCTTCGTAGATTTCGTGGATTCTCGACCACCCAGTTTTTTCTTTGATGGGATTTCTCGACTGCTGTCACATTGGCAAAAGTGTGCTGATTCGAATGGTGCCTATTTCGATTAAATCCGATGAGTATTAAAAAAGTTACGATCGTTTAAAGTGAAACACCCAAAACGCTGAGAACTTTCCGGACAACCTAATAATTCCCCCACTTTTCCCTGTTCAGTTTCACCCAAAAAATTTCCCGTCGAGCGGAGGGAGTGGGGTATAATAGTACACATGAACAGCTCAATGGGCAAATCACGCGAAACGCAGGGAAAATTTTTCCCAACACAGCAAACTTCTCAAAACGCATCTAGGACTAAATTCCTCCCCCTCCTCCCTGCCCAAAGACGCACAAATACGATCCTCGGCTCCCTAGCGGCAAAGTAGGATCCCCTATGTGGTTTCGGACACAAAGATGTACTCTTGCCTCCTGAAACCATCCCACCCCTTTTCTCATTTTTTTTCTTTCAGAGATTCCTATCCTTCGCACGTTTACCTTGTTGCACAGCCGTCCTTATCTTATGGTTAGATTTTTTTAATTTCATTGACACTTTCTCATCTATGTCCTTGTCCTTGTACCGCACAGCTTTCGTTTTCTTTCTATTCTGAACCACTATATATTTTCTAGTTCGGTACTTTTTTTTCTTCGAAGTGAAAATATATTTCTGACAGCATTTTTTGCAGTCTTTTATGGTCATGTTTCGAGAGAGCACTGCCCGTACACGGCCATTAGGGACTCGCAGTGATAGTAAACAGATATGGACAGCTGGTTTTTGTTCCCTGAAAAATTGTCTGGATAAATACGAAGCTGCCTGTGGGATGGGCCATGTTTTCTCTAATCGCGACAAGGGCAAAAGTATTAGCGAATCACATAAACATTATGTAAGAAATGACCACCACAAGGATCACAGCTTGGAACGCAATAAATCTCGAATTCGTACGAAGGCACGACCCCGAAGTCTAGGAGACTATCAGTCCCATTGCTCCTAGTCCCTCCATGGAGCATTATCGGAGGGCACATGGGTAACCCGTCGACTTCATTGAAGTAGGGCCACATTTGCCAGTAATCATCTATACAGAAAGAAAGTGAGGCACGCGGCCAGTGAATCTTTTCCGAGGTAGGTTGCGCGACTCCAAAAGCATAAAATTCACAAAACTGGAGGCCATGCCCCGACCTTCGACAAGTTCAGGCAAAAATGGGAAGACAGCGTGTGACACTTGTTCGGTGTGACTATCGCTTTGGTCTACGCTTTGAGACCACAACTGCTTGTACAGCTGATATCGACGCAAACAGTCAGGGCGGTTTCATTAGGAATGGTAAGTGCACCTGCGGCCTGCCTACCAACGGTTGTTTTCCCCCGCAAATCGACCACGTTACTTATTATTACTTTTCGGTCAGAGCAAGGGCAGCCAGAGGCGGGCTCATCTCGCCCGACATTATCAAATATGACGGCATCAACAGCGTTTACAAGACCGACTGCCATGTTATTTTTTTATTTTTTTCTGAGGATCAAGTGGACGTCTATTATAATCAAGGCCCAGGTCCAACCCTTATGCCTGTTCTCTGCCTCCGGGACCGGTAAACTACATCAGAGATCAGGAGGATGAAGACACACTGACTTGTATTTGGGCTGGTCCCGCTAGATTAGCCACATCGCATTCACTAAGCTACTGCGATTTTTATAGAAGCAGAATTAGCGCCGCATCCCAAAAGGGATCGATGAACGGCAAAGACCTTGTCCTTTCTATCCTTTAACCAAGCATTAGAATTCATGGGTGGTCTAAGTTTGTGATACGGCATTTTTTAGGAAACTACTGACTGCTGAAACGCTTATCAAATAGGAGGGTGAAGTCTGATGTTTCCGAGACATCTAGAGCATTGCATCACATACAGGAGTCATCTTGCTCGTTCAATTATGTTCGATAATGGGTAATTTACAGGAAGCTAGGCTCATGAAAGGCAAGACCCCGATTTATCCGCCTACTTAGGGAGCTGCGGCCGTGCAGATGGAGGCTTGCCAAGGTGATCTTGTCCACTTGGGTTTCAACGGCCTGGACGAGTTTCGCAGACCACAGATTACAGTGCACGCCTCTAGCCCTTTTGGTATATGTCATCGCGTCTCTACTTCTAACTTAAATTCGTGAGTATTTTGAAGGCGTTTGGCTATCTAAGTGACTTGCAGGGACCAGCCGTAGTATAAGTCGTTATCCTGCAAGACGAATCTAATACCAAATCGCCTCCCCCAAGATAGAAGGCTTGGCTGGTCTGAGCGGAACTTGATCGCGGCTTCTTGATATCTATGCGATGTGTTACATATGCAGCGCGAGAGCACGGCCACTACATACCTCTGCGTTAAGGCTAGAGGGTTGGGAGAAGCGAAATAGTTTAGCAAACCAGCCGCCACAACAGAGCTGGAAATCGTTTGTTGATTCTGAAAGGCGATACTATTTTCTGCGCTATAAAGCTTGTAAGGCGCCTTCATGGGCCAAAATTTTAGGCGCGTGACATAGTAATTTTCGTCTGAACAGAAGTGACTGTCAAAACAGCGGCCTGGAGGTCGGGGAGCAAAACTTTCCGCGTAGTTGATGCTGCCTTCCAAAAAAGGGCCTGAGAAGGGTGCAACCTCCGCCCGCTCTGGAGGCAGCGCTAGAGTGGACGGATCCCCTTCATTAGCTTTAGGAAAAAGAGAAAAAAAAAACACTCTTGCTTCAACTTAATTTTATTTTCCTTCTTGTGTACCCGTTGCCAAAAAGACGGCCCAAAGAAGGGAAGGGATCATACCGGTGAAACGGGTAGAAAGCGCAAAATCTTTGATCTTTCCAAGAATTCGCCTCCGTTTCATAGTTGTGAGCCTCTCATCACAGGAAAAAGACCCGATGACTGGCGTAGCAGACGTGTCCCAGCACGGGAATTCCTTTTCGAGGGAGAGGGACTTTCCTCAGGGAAAGGTGTGAGCTGCAGGGCACGGGCGCCGTTGTGGAAACATTTCTGCAAAATATGACCCTCAAAATTTCATCTCCGCCAGTACGAACCTGCTCTTCCATATCCCGTCCCATCTGCCATCTTCCTTTATTCTCTCCAATTTTCTTCCACGTTTCCGGGGGAATTTTGCAGCTTTACATTTTTACAGATTCCCTGAAAAAACTACCGTCAAGGTGGTCCCAGCCCTGCTCGAGTGTACTTGCGGATAGTCAAAGCAAAAGCAATCCGAAGGATTTTCTGTGTCTGCTTGATTGAAGCAGCTTCTTTCGACACTTTTAGCTCAGTTTGTTGAATCGTGCAGATGGTTTGCCATGTGCGTTCCATCGCACAGCTCCAAATGTCTCGTAAGCCACCGTTGGCTGATGTAGCAGTTCTTACGAAGCTCTGACTCATACCTTGACAGCCAAACAGGATGATTCCCGTTCAAAAATCGCTTGACGAAAAGATACTGTAACAGAAGGGGACTGTGGAAAAACTGGCTCCTGCGGCTGCCTTCACAGTACTCCTGAAGTGTACGCGAGTTTGTCTGTGCTCTGGCTGTGTTTCCTCGACTCTTTAGGATCCTACGACCACCGAGCCTCACAGGGCGCCCTTGGATCAGAGCAGTCCCTTACTAAGAACACTGCACATAACAGGAACCTACTTCAGTAAAGTTCCTCCTCTATAGTACCCGGCCTTCCATATCCCGCTGACTTACCAGCACTTCCTAAGTCTTTTTTCCAATTTCCTTCAGAAATGTTCCCATCGAATTTCCGCTAGCTGTTCCTCGAGTGGGGGAGGGGAGGGAAGGGCTTGCCCCCTCATTACAAGCTTCAAGTTATCAAAAACAGATAGTTGTATGGTAGAACCGCGTTCAATCAGGGCTAGGGGAAGGGGGAGGGGTACACAAAACATATAAAACGGGAAAAACCAGCAAAAGGTAACAAGCGGAGAGAAACTTCTCACGCACAGAGAAAAAATTTCCTCGAAAGTGCGACCAGTCGCTCTCCCAGTGAGAGTCTCATAAGCCCAGAAAAAAATCGGCTTTCAAGAAAGAAGAAATTTCTCGGTCAGGCAAAGTACAATCCCCCTCCCTGGAGCGATCAGATAAGATCACCGCTGGGGATTTTCCACCGCACTCTCCGGACACCCTGCCGTTGGAACGTCATCCTCATTTTCACTACATGTTCTTGCGAAACATCCTATGCTCAGGAAACCGCTAAACTTCGTTGAAGCGACCCCCTCTGCCCCTCCCCAGCCCAAGTTTTTGTGGCAGTACCATCACGAAACGTTCAAGTCGACCCACTATTCTGGGCGTATAAGCCTGTAATGTTCCATTGATTGTGTAGCGGAATCACCTTATCAGTTCATGACTTTACGGCTTTCTAAAAACTTAATGTGATACGGCCAATTCTGCTGTGTTGCTATTGTCTCTTTAATCAGTAAACGTTCCTGGATCGTATGTGGCTTACTAATCCACTAAAGACTTCTCATTGGGTCGGAATCGATAAGATTCGCACCGGGAGGTCTGGCAGCAGAGGCTGAATCAGTTCAAGAACTGAGAACTTACGGCATTTCCTCATTTGGATTGTTTTTGTTCCTTGACAACACACGGAATCCTCCACATATTTCAACTACATCGCGATCTCGTCCAGCAAACAAGCCGCAAACACGTCCGTCAGGCCTCAAGTAGGCGTGGCCAAAGACTTCGTAGTGTTGGCCGTCACCATACTTTGTCTTTGTGATCCTTGAAATGGAAAAGTTGTGGGAAAAAATCCGTCAGTCATAAGATCATTCATCTGTCTACGAGGGAGAGAAAGGGCACAGAAAAAAGACAAGAAAAAGGAAGAAGAAATACAATTACCCTTTTATTCGTGGAATGCGAAGACAGAAAAGAATATTTAGAAAAGAAAAGAAAAAGGGGAAAGGGCGAAATAACAGAGAATGAAGGAAAAGAAATGAAAAAAGAGGAGAGAAGAAGAGAAAACCAGAAAAAAAAGGGCTACAAGGGTAGATTTTGTTAGGTAAGGATTTTGCTTAAACTTAAAGTGCACACTGTTGACTATTGCTGTGGGCGAAAAGGCGGGCTGGGTTTGGCGGTGACCACCAACTGTGTATCTTTTGCCCGCGTCAATAAATGGTGGGGAACGGACTGGATCCGTGCCAAACCCATCCTTTCCTGGGACGCCCCAGCATCAGCAGCGGACAAGACTGTAAGGTGCCAAACCCGGTCTCCCCCCCCCCCCCGATCGGCGAAACGTCCGCCTTGGAACAACTCTGCGCGAACCCTGTGCAATATTGAGCAAAAGCAGAAGATCGAGAAAGAGAAGAGTGGGATAGAACAGAAAAGAAAGGTAAGTGAAGAAAGAGGAAAATCAGTAACAGCTAGAGTAAGATATTTGAGATTTAGAGTGAGGAAAAAAAACCTGTCGCAAGTAACGAAGCAAAACAGAAACGAAGAATGCGGGAAAAAAGAAGGGAAGTTTGAGAGAAAAAAAGAAATAAAGAAAGAGATGAAAAATAGGGACCATCAGACATTAAAAGTCCACGCCAGTTTATAGCCTGGAAAAATCGCTGAAAATCATGTGCTCTGCAAGAAAAGGGCTGAAAAAATAAAAGAGAAAGGAAAAGTAGAAGAAAAGGTAGAGGAGGTAGAAGAGAAAGGAAGAGACGGGGTTTTTAACTTACCAATAGGCTACCCATCCTGTACGAATGTCTCCATCACCCGATTGTGGAAGTGTGAGGAAATCGTTCGTAGTACGTCCATTCCTGAAAAGAACGCCAACTTCTTAGACAAGGCGATTTGGCGGAATTCGGTTAAGGGGGGGAGGAGGTTATACTTTCGCTACTTTCTTTTGTCGGTCACTGACTTTACAAGTTGACAAGTAGCTTCCTACAAACGTTGACTGGTATGACTTAATGGCTTCACAAGATTTTACACATTTCTACTGGATGGCTCGACACAACAGTATAAGCAGTGAAAGCGCAGAACGCCACCCCCCCGGGCCGGATTGCGCCGACTATTATGCTCTCTTTCCCCTCCTCCTATCCCCTCCCAAAGATCGTTACCTCAACATCCCATCGTAGCCGACAGAGGTCCAGTACTCTTCACCCACTTGGGAAAGCTTCACACGGCAATTCCTTGGTAATCTGATAGCTAGTTCCTGAAATGGTTAATGGGTTGACTGAGTGGGTAAGAAAGAACATAAGATCAATAGAAGTCGGACTCACTCGGACTCGACTCTCACGATATCGACATCGTCCGTCACAAACGTAAGCTAAGGCAGAAAGTAGGAGGAGAAGCACCCAAGACGGCATGGTCTTGAACCTGGAAGACGAATCTGATGACGAATTGAGAAGAAACTGATGAAATATGAAAGGGAGGCGGGGATCATGAACATGACTTCTACGTGTGCTTGTGTGGAATTTGTGGCGACGATGACACACAGCGTTGGCACCCCGCGAACGCAATTTTTGAATCGACAAGCGGGGGTAGTGGGGGCACGGGATGACGCTACCCTAGCATTTGATGTGTCATCGCTACAGATTCCAGACGATTTCTGATAAGTCAAGAACAGGAGGGAAACCAGATAAGGCCAAGAAAAAGCCTAATGGGCCATACATACATAATGGCAACTGTCAGGGCGTGGCCCAAGCGACATAAAGGTAGCTTCGCAGATCATCTGGGCACCATTGTGTCCCATAAACTCTGCTGATAAGCTCAGTAGCTGAACAAGCTCAGAAAAAAATGAGAAAAAATTGCTTGACATGGACATGGACATGGTACTTCTCGGACTGGTCGAAGTAGCCACGTTTAGAGGTACGCTTTCAGAAGAATGAGAAGAGGCAAGGTATCAGGTGACGAGGTCGCGTGAAAACTGGTCATGCGCGGCGGGAGGGACCCACCTTCTTGGACTCACCTCGGTTCAGAAAAGGCAGCAACACAGATTCAGATCGCCTAGTGGAAGCGATACTTCAGGATACCCCTGAAAGTGAATCTTTTAGTCGAGTTGTACTGTAGGAGGCCAGAAAGCAGCGGAAATTTCGAAATAACGACTTAAGGAAGAGTCGGACTCCGAAGAGATCCAGAGAAAGAAATAGAGAAGAAGGTTGAAAGCAAGACGGTGTGAGTTTATGCGTACAATCGTGCCCTCATTTCCCTATTTGAAAAAATCACATCAGTAATGGTTGGCAGGTCGTAGCGACCTCATTCGTTGGAACATTGTTCACCTCTAGATTGCCACCCTCCTAAGAATTCAAATCTCCACGGCACCAGCCAGAATGACATCTCAACCTTTTGCATGCATACCATATACACCCCTTATCCCTGAGCCAGGGTAGGCGTGGCATTTGCCACATTGCCACGGAACTGCGTTACATGACAACTGTCATCTTGTTCTGTGTTGGACAAGACACGAAAACAATTTTGTCAGGATGAAAATATCTTACCAGAGGCGTAGACTCCTTCAGGTTAAGTTCAAGGATGCAGCCACACCTACCCGATCTCAGGGATTTCGAGTATATTTGGGTTCTAGGCACCAGAGCACATCGTTGTTAGGGATTCCCCATAGGGTGTCATATATGCGTCTGGGAAAAAGCTTGTTGTTGAGCATGTCTGTTTTCTTGTCCTTAGGACGTTTGCAAAGGCGGAGAGCTCGTATTTGCTCGCTTATTGGGAAGGGAAGAGGGGGGAGGCTCGTATTCCCTTCTGACTCATATTTCCCTTCTCCTTCTAAGAATGTTGCTGACTTTTGTATTTTTTTCCTGTTTCTTCGTACCTGTGTACACCCAAACTCCCCACCCCCCCCTCGACAAAATTTGTGGGGTAAAAGTAGGCAAAAAATGGTTTTTTTTCGGAAAAAATTTTCCCCGGGGAAAAAGCGGAGAGGCAGCTTGAGGGAAATCTGGAGGATATGGTAGGAGAGGGGGTTGCATTTTTCTCTCGCGATGATCAAGGAGGGTACAGGGTAGATTATAAGTGGTACTTGGAATGTCACATAGCACTCAAGAGCGTACACCGGGGCCATTGAAGCTCGCGAGTTGTAAACCAATGAGTATTTTAGCTAAATGTTCTGTACGAGCAATAAACACGTTCCCAGAAAAAAAAATTGCGGAGACCCATTCAAGGATAAGGCGTTTTACAATTCATGACGTATATCTTGAAGAGAACAAAGAAAACAGAATGGCCATCAGACCGGCAGTTCAACGATTGCGAGGACGAGAACGCGACGAGTTGAATGCACCCGTTTGCACAATAGATGACGTGTGAACAGGGTTAAAGTTATCAGACTTGAAATTAGGAAAAATTTAGAACTAGAAAAGAATATGTAACAAACTTTGAACATTACATTATCAGGTAACATTACATACGAACACAATTGGTGAAGACAGGCTGGCGCCATGCCAAACCCAGCTTTCCCCTCTCTTGAAGTGCCCCAGCATTCGCAGCGAAGACTCTACGTTAACACTAGTACGCCCGTCTATGGGGATCACTACCAGTGATGCGACAAACTGTTAGACTTAGAGATCTTAAGCACCACCTTCATCCATAATCCCTAGAGGAGAGCTCGTAACTGATAGGTGGTGAAAAAGGTCCTGGTCCCATGAAAGCAAAAACCAAGCAAAAAAGCGGAATCCGCGGCGTGTGGGGGGTACAAGCCTCACTCACATCAGAATTGAATACAGGGGAAAAAAATTGTCAGGGTCCCTTCGTGATAAAAAAAAAAAAAAAATACGAGAGCAGAAAATAGTGATCTCGTGGCCATTGTTAAGAGCATCACCAGAGCGCATCTCCTTGAAGTTTACCATCAGATTGGGAAAGGAAATGAAGCCACGGAAATTAGTCCCAATTGTAAGAGCTGTAAAATGGTACATAACCCGGATTCTCAGCTAGTTGTACATGGTCTCTGAAGCAGGTTCATGGTCTTTCTCAAAATCTGAGGAATTATTTTGTCTGATAGATTTTGCAGAAATTTCATTATCGTTTGAATTTAATGGTTTCCTAGCGGCGATCATAGGTAACAGACTATGATGCTAATTTTTTCGATGAACGTTTTGAAAATTTAATTTTTGACATGTCCACTACCGAAAACCGAGAGATCACTTGGAAATACCGCATTTCTATTATTTTTGTCTAAACTGAAAGAAAATTTCTGGATACAAGAGAATTTTTGAGAGAGGTTCGCAGAGCACTATCAGTAGGCAGAGTCAGTGTCCAAGGCAAATTTTTATGCTGTCGACCAGACGAAAACCAATTAATCAACCCTGTGGCAAGCAAAACCTTGATGACCGGGGGGAAATTTCTATCCATTTCCCGTTTGTATAGTAGCACCACCTGTCCCTGGGCTGGTAAACTTGATGAGATATTCATAGCGAACCACAGAGTAGTGAGTACTCAGAAATTTGGATAATTTTCTTGGAAATGAAGCTTTTTGAACAGTTACTGGTCCCTTATGACATCCGAATCAAGTAATTATCATTTTCATATCATTTGGGCGCTAATAACCTTGCTTGGGGGGGTGGGGCCACTTCACGGCCGCACACAAGCTTTCGTTAAAGTCATGTTATGCATACATGTAAATACGAGAAAATTGTGTTGCGCCTGCAGGTCCTGCAAATTCCTGTTGGTTTTCTCTAAACTCCTGCCAAGCTCTTGGAAAATCGCATTAGCGCCATTTTAAAGCCATTTCTCCGTTTTCTTCCGTACTGTCATTTGGGCAAGCTTGACAGCAGCTTCATAGGGTGCTTGACAGGGGAATAGTAACGTTTACAGTCCGTTGACAAGGCTGCTCGGTATTCACATGTAAAAAGTAACGACCCAGTTCGGCGGCGGAGGTGTGGAGGAGCATTTTTGCACATTTAGCAGCATTTACTAGCCTCCGGTTTGCTATTCTCACTTTGGTGAAACTTTGTAAACTTTGTGATCGCTGCGAGCAGCGCTCGTCGACAGCCACCTTTAAGTTTATAAGCTTACGCTAGCTCTTTAGACGTAGCGTCGACAGGTCGCTGGGCAACCAAGCGAGAGCTACAAAATCCCTCCCCCTCCAGGGCCGTCGCAGAACTGCCCAGAATACACACGACTTGCTATGCTGCCAAGTGCTCACAGGTGTCCCCCCTCCGAGTTTGCTAGTGTCATAATTAGTTTCGGTATTCGCCGGTTCTCCCGAAGGAGAAGCTTTCAGAACACCTGATCTTCTCCTGTGGCATCGCCAGCAACTTGTATTTTTTATTTTATTATTTTTATTTTTATAATTACCTATGCCACTACTTACACTTTTGGTCTTATGGAATTCACTGGCGTGATCGTATTTTCGGGACTGCATGGGAAAGTGCTGAGGTTTTCGTGATTTTACGCTCGCCGACGTTCTTCTGATAAACGCAGCCAATTGTCACGACTCCACTATCAATTGCAGACAGCCCGTACACATTCACGTATAAAATACTACGTTAAAAGTACCCCTTCATTTTTGCGCGTGGAAGAAACGTCACGTGATTCGGAGCGAGCGAGCCGTGCATTCCTTTTTTATTCAATTTCGCAACCACTCAATCACCAAGCGCTGAGAGAAATTTCGGCGAGGGTGAATGGAGTGTTTAGGCAATAATTCAAACTAGTCTGAAATGCTACTAGCCGTGGTAGACTGAATCATTCATCCGATGGTGCTATAGTATTCTCTACGATTAGGCCCTTATTACTGTAGGGGGAAAATATGACCAATATGAGTGTGCAATTTAAGACGGCATGGTGAGTCCTCCAACCATACAGCCCTTTTCCACAGCGGATGCGAGAGGCGTTGTCAGAGGAGTGGTTAGGCGCGGCATTAACCCGTTCTCTACTGAATGTCATTGCCGCTTGCCCTCTTCATCAACAACTTGGTGGAGAAAACTGGGGCCGCGCTGGACCCATTTCTCTGACGAGCCCCATACCGCAGCGAGCGGAACTGTTATTAGTTGGCATGACGAGCCAGCTACAGGGGGGGGGGGTCTGAGCGCTGTACCAAAGCTTTCTTTTCTCCCTTTCCGGCGGATTACTAGTTTTAGTGTCAGTGCCAGACACTTAAAACCCCACTTTTTTTTCAAAGAGAAAATATTAGAAGGTTATTGTGCAGCTGAGCCCTAAGAAAACATGCAGCTGAAACCACTCCACACTGATTGGCTCCGGATTCTAGGGTGTGTGAGGGGGGCTGAGTTTGGCTAGGCTCCGGCCTGTTTTCCACCTACTGTTGAATGGTGGCGAGAAAAATTGGTGGTAAACGGTCACCAAACCCCTTACCCTAACACGCCCAGCATCCGCAGCTAACAAGGAAAGAAAAGATGAAAGA